AAACACAGATCCTTCCTTCAGAAAACTTTCACTCAAGGTCATTTGGGGTTTTTTTTTTCCCCCCCTCATTCCTCCTACTCCTCTGCAAATTCTCCACCCTAGAACACAAGCCTCCATTTATTATTATGGTTTACCTGATAGCATAAGAGAAGACCCGAACAATCAAAGGATCTGAGAATACAATCAGATGAAATTAAATCAGGATTTTATGTTGAATTAAATTATATTTTACACATAATCTGCTCCTGAAAAACTCCGGAGGCATTCCAAGGTATTTTTCCACCAGTGCAGGCGCAATCAGTTCTAAACATGGTCTTCTACTGAACACACCTACGTTCAAAGGGGCTGAGTACTTTACTCACTGCGCAGTCATTAAATCACCCTGAGCAGATGGACTGACAACAGCTTTTTCCACGGAATTTTTCCTGACTTCCCACAGGAGAGCATTTTGGACGAGTACCTACTTCTGCTCTTGCCCGAAGCCCCACTCGGCGCTGGCCGCCTAGCTGTGCTTCTGGGAAAGTTGGTAACTTCCCACGAACGCTCGGTTTTCTCCATAGCTCTGCCACTCTGCAGGTAACTTCCCAAAGGCCTTGCACTGATCGCAGCCTTAGCTAGACAAGCCTTTGCCTCTCAACAGGGGCGACATGAGAGTTCTAATAAAACACAGATCCTTCCTTCAGAAAACTTTCACTCAAGGTCATTTGGGTTTTTTTTTTCCCCCCCTCATTCCTCCTACTCCTCTGCAAATTCTCCACCCTAGAACACAAGCCTCCATTTATTATTATGGTTTACCTGATAGCATAAGAGAAGACCCGAACAATCAAAGGATCTGAGAATACAATCAGATGAAATTAAATCAGGATTTTATGTTGAATTAAATTATATTTTACACATAATCTGCTCCTGAAAAACTCCGGAGGCATTCCAAGGTATTTTTCCACCAGTGAAAAACAACAAACCAAACCCAACCCTTCTCATCTGCTGAATTAACTGCTGCTATTTAATTAACTACAAATAGGGAAATTAATAAGAAATGCACCAAGTGGGTACAGTGCTGGGGTAAGGCAGCATTTCTAGCATCTTTTACATCTCGTGTAACTGTAATGACCTGGCCTGCCATCACAGAATCACAGGAAGTACTTCATTTCTGCCCCCGTGATTTGGGAGTAAAAAAGAAAAGCTTTATCATTACTACCACCCAGCCACCCTCTCAAAGCACATTTCTCACTTAGACTTCACCTTTGAATTTGCCCTCTCAAGAAAATCCAGGAAATGTAAGGTATTGGTCATTAGCTGCGTTTCTGGAATTCCATTACAGAGTGCCCTGGAGAATATATGAAAACAAGAGATCTGTAAACCCATAAGATTTAATCTGAAATGGATGTCCACAGAGCCTGATGTTCAAAACCACCACGGAACAAGGGTGTCCTGTGAAACTGCCTGCTTTGATAGTAAAGATCTCAGTGCCATTTTCAAATGTTATTGTAATACTCAACATGAACATATTGAGAGATCTGAACTACCAATGTGGTTACCTTTTGGTACACAACTTTCTGTCACGGTCATAGGTTTAGATTTTGGGGGGTTCTACAATATACTTTGATTTTGTAACTCAATGATACAAAATCCTCCACATTCCACCGATCAAAAGGAGGTTTATGGCAAGCACGGTTCTCTAGCCTGTTTGGGAGAATTAATGATCTCTATCCAAAAGTAAATAAGGGGTTATCAGCTAAGGAAGTGTGTACAACAGAAGGGCTAAGATACATAGTACGTGTATTTAATTTTTAACTCTAAGAACATTAAACTAATTTCAACAGTTCAGAGTTTCTCAAAGCCTGGGATGCAATCCTCGGAAAGGGACAGCCTACTGGAGTTACAGTTCATTTACAAAAACACTAGATGGCATTAAAGCCCTCTTTTATGAGCACGCTGTAAAACAGGACTTCCCCAGTCCAGCACACCCCCTCAGCATCAGCCCCGGCAGGGCAAAGCTGGGGCTGTGGCAGCTGTGGGACAGATCAGCAGCATCAGAAGAGTCAGGAAACAGCCACTCTGAAGTCACATCTTAATATGCTATACATTTATGGAGATCAGAAATAGGTATTTTGAAGTCTGGTGAGCATGAGAGCGAAGCAGCAGGATTATCTGCTAGGAAGCCAAATAACAGCATGTACTGAGAAATGAAGTGGGGGGGAAGGATCACTGTATCCAAGGAATTGCTGGTGTTGCAGGGGCGGTATCTGCTGTTGAAATTATTATAAACAGGAGCTTCTTACAAGGGGAGGGGTTTCTTTATAGCTAGCTACAGTTCTGAATGGGTTTTGGTTTGGATTTGTTTGTTACATCTGTGCAGCTACGAAGTACAAGGTCTCTGTGGTCTGATACCATTAGAAAATAAAACAGGCTACCCAAGGGCCGGCTGGGCAGCATTAAGCAAACCCTGTTCTACCCACAAGGCTGTTCAAAGGTTTACATTTGCTTTATTGGAGTGGTAGAGTTTAAAAAAAAAAAAGTATCTGCAACCCTCTTAGAATTTCTCTTAGTCCCCTGCAGTCCACTGTTGGAAGTTACGCTTTCAGGTACACATTAGATATGTTGGCATTTAGGTTAGCTTTCAAAAAATAGCACTGTTAAGTACGTGTTCAAGAACCTTAGTTTAAGTGCACGAGTAAGGCAGTTCAGATTAATGTTTTAACAAGCAGCGGTCATATAATCACGCCAACTGATTTCCAGAAGTCTTGAGGCACAGTAAAGTCTCTTTCAGTTCCACTGATGGGAACAGAAAAAAACCCCATGCAATGAAGGTAGACTTAGAAGGCCAAACATGCGCAGATCCACTTCTTGACCTTGTGATGAATTATCCCTCCTTTCTGAGAGTGTGGAAGACAAGTGTATGTGTTAGCTCTTTGATGCTACTTTGAAATTGTGCTTAAGTAGCGTGGTATTAAAAGCATACAACTGATTTTGTTCATGGCTTGTCAGTAGACTCTTTCGGACAGGTCTCAGAAGTCCAATTCTGTATTCCATAATACAGCAGAAGTGAGCAAAAAGTAAACAGCACAGATTGGGAAGGAAAAGAATAATCTGGAGTAAAGCAAAAAAAGAAAAAAATTTTTTTCTTCCCAAACAACACAGCATGTCAACAGTAAAATTGCAATTTTTTTACAGGGTGAGCACAACACTGTCAGAAAGACAGTTCCCCAGTTTCCCACACCCCAGCTCAGCCCCATGCCTGGCCCCTCTCCTACCCCTCAACTAACAGCAGTGCTGGACAGATGCATGCCCTCTCCCAGCACTGTGCCACTAGGGGGGAGAATGAAGACACCGTTCAACTCTCTCCTCTCCTGCTATGGCAAATGGTTTTACGTGCAGCTTCTCCGGCAGTTTCCCCACAGACAGAAGAGCAGCAACTGTGTCCTCATCAGACCCAAAGTAAAAGTCTGTCTTCCCAAGGCAGTGATTTGCCACCCCCAGTCTGCTACATCCATACAATGATTAAAGATCGTTCCACAAAGGCTTCCTGTTAAAAAGTCTAACAAAAAAAGCTAGTATACTAAGTGTAATGTTCAGGGTTTGGTTTTTTTTTTTTTTAGCAATCTGACCTCTAAACAATTAACTCTTTGACATGAAGTATAAAATACACAGCAGCTGTTCTCTAGACAGCACTGTATGCAGGAAGCCCGCGTGCAAGGAGCAAAGTCTTCACAAAACACAAACACAGTGTTTTAACAGTGCGGGCATCACTGACATTTCATCACAAGGGAAATGGAAAACTCTTCTTTCTGCCTACCTGTATACACAGAAGAGGAATGGCAACTGTCATGAGAAGTTAAACACAAAAACTACATCTTCTACCTTATTTTCCAATCCCTATTATTTCAATTGCACTTACACCCTGACATTCCCCTCAACATACACGTTATTCCTTTCCAAAATACGTTTGATGCAGAGACATACGTTAGGAATGTAGTGGTTCATGAACTGTAGTCTGCAGTTCTGCACAAATACACTACTGCTGAGTCAAATTAACATTTGGGTTTCTATTTAGAACAGAGCCATAATGCTTTGTGCAGTAGCTGGTTTTAGTGTGAATGCTTCTGGTGCAAGACTTAAGTAGCAGCAGAGTGCTGTGATATCAAAAAACAAAGTACTCCTCTAGTCTATAAGAGCTGAAACGCCGCGAGGCATTCAGTTTAGAGAACAGAACACAACACAACAATGATCTTACCCTTCCTTCAACTTTGTGCAACTTTAACTACACACTACAGCAAGGAAAATTAACTATGCTGAGGTGCAAGCCCCACCTGAAAAGAAAAATGGAAATTAATATCTGTGCTGTGTATAAACCCATTTTAATGTTTGCAGGATACTCAACTTCTTAATGGCCACTTTCCTAGTAACTTGAATACTAAGCTCCATCACGCATACTATTTATTTTAAACCACTGGCCTTGATCTAATGCCATCTGCAAGTCACAAGAGCGAAGATGCGCAGGTTCTTTTCCAGATTCCAGACACATACGGTAGCAGCGATGGTATTTTCCTAAGTTTAAAATCTGATGTCTGAACTGTGTATGAGAAGAAAGAAATGCCTCTTCAAATCATGTACACACAGCAGACCAAAACGTCATCCTTGGCTTACTATCACACATTAAGAACAAGTTTGGAAGGCCACCTAATGCCCAGCCTGTAGACAACCACAGCTTGCAGTGAATAATGACTTATTTCTGTATCAACAGATCACCAGCAGGAGAACTGAAGGAGAAAACTGGAGACAGTGAGTCCATCCCTGATAAACAGAGAGAAAAAAAAAAAGTACTAAAGCAGTAAGGATATGAAAAAGGTAAAAGTGCAGGCACTAGCATTTTCTGTTACCCTCAACCTACACAGAGAAGTTTACAGAAAGTGACTTAAAAAGATTAAGTCATGACATGCTTAAGTTTAGCTAAGAATTATGCAGATTAGCGAACTGCAAGAACAGCATACACAGATTACCTGAAGATTTATTCAGCTTTGCTGAAAATACAGCAGTAGGTTTTTCCTTTTCTTTAACAGAAGCAGCTTCTCGCTCAGCTTCCTTCTCAAAAGCTTCTGGTTTTACTAGACTGACTATCTCTTTCTCAGCAGTTAAAGGTGAGGTATCTGCGGCCGGTAAGGACATCATGGGTACTTCAGGCACTTCTCTGTCCACAGCCTCCAAGGACTTTTTCAAGGCATTAGTATCTTCCTCAGCTTTTACTTCTACATTCTTTATAGACAGATCACAGGGTAGCTCTGGGCAAGGCAACTGCTTCTTCTCACCTTGGATCGCCTTGCTGATCTCTTCACTTTCATCTTTGCGCAGTACCTCTCTGTCGGTGGCTTCTGCCACAAACTCAGGAGCAGTTTTAGGGTGAGCTAACATCACAAAGTCTTCTTCCACTGGGACTGGGGAATAGTCCATGGGTGAGAGAGCTTTGTTGTCTGCTGGTTTTGGTTCTGTAGCAACAGATACATCAGCTGAATAAGCCATAGCATTCAGCTCTTCCATTTGAAGAGGAATCTTCTCTGCCTTGGCTACTTGTGTTGGTGTCAGCTCAGATGGCAGAGCAGCAGTAATTTTGGAAGAGTCCAGCTCGGGTTGGAAAGACTCCAGATAAGGCTTGCCTGTGGCAGCTACCGAATCCACCGGTCGTTCCTTGTGTTCATCATCAGTTACAATATTCTCAGTTGATTTACTTTTTAAGATGAGAGAGGGATCTTCACTCACTTTCTCAGTAAAGTCAGGTATCACCTGGCTATTAAACAAGTCAGATTTTCCAAACGGCGGAGACAGTTTTTCAACGAGTTCCTTGTGTTCAGGCACATCCTGAGAAATGCATTCTGTTATCGGTGTCTTTGAATAATCTGTAAAGGATGGAGAAGCAGATTCACCGGAGACCTTTGTTTCCTTAATTAAGTCACATGCAATAGATATATACGGAGTCTCTGTATCTTCAGGACTGGCGCTAGTCTCATGATCAGGTTTTTTAAATGTCAACGCCTCTTTTGCTTCTTGGGCCTGCGTCAGTGGTACATTCACTGCCTCTTGGTATAAGGGAGGTTTCTCAGTCTCCTCTTTTACATTCTCATAATTAGCAGTAGGAATAAATGTTTCTAATGGGGAAGCTTCGAGCTGCACAGCAGATGCTTCTGCACCAGCAGTCCCAGTGCTCAGTGGGGCTTCCATAACAATATCTGGCAATATTGGTGACGGAGCAGCTTCCGACCCTTCAAATGAGGGACAGAGTTGTGTCACGGGCTTCAGAGTCTCTTGCACTGACTCGGAGGTTTGAACTAAATCAATCTTTGTTTCATAAGCAAGTTTTGTACATGCCGCGTCATGCATTTCACTTTCGTATGCTTCTTGTACTAGATCAGGAGTAAGACCTTCAGGCATATTTGCTGCAGTGTCAGATGGCACCGTTGATACACTCTCTGTTTTAGCATAGTCAGCTTCCTGGCCTTCCTGCTTGCCAACTGCTTGAGTGCTAAAATCACCTTGTTCTGTGCTCGTCTGAGCTTTCATTTCTGCAATTTTTTTCTCATCATCGGTTCTATTTTCTGAAGTGCCTTCCTCTAGTGGAGAAAGAGATTTGACTTTGTTATCATCAGGACTCACAGAGGATTCAAATTTAGTACAAGTGATGTAAGCCTGCGAAGGTTCGTTTACAGCTTCTGGGGTACTTGGGAAAGAGCGATCTTCAGCGCTGCCTTCACTCTCTCTTTCATAATCCTTCTGCACATTTGGCTTATCTACACCATATTTCTTATCTAAACTGCTTTCTAGTTTGGCATCTATCTTGCTTCCAACATCCTCTCTCACGCTGCTCAGTCCATGACTAGCACCTTTTACTTCCCATATTGGCTCGAACGGTTTAAAGTCTGCATATTCTTCCCTCCTAAGAGGGTCTTCTTTCAATGCCCCTTCTTCACCATGATCACCACCTCCATATTTGTCTTTGTTATAAAAGAGATCTTCCTTGTTTTTCTCAAACAGATCTTGAGGAGTTTCTGGAGACATTTTCGGCTGCTGTGCAGGCATTTTCTCCAGATTAGGTAATTCTTTAGGGCCCTCTAGCTGTGTTTCTTCTTTAGCTTGAGATAAAATGGCTGCTTCTGCTTTAGCAAATGGGGGTTCCGAGTATTTAATCTCTGAAATGTCTTTTTCATTTCCCTCTGCAAGAAATGGATTTCTTGCATTTTCCATAGTTTCTTTATAAACCTCCCTTGCATTTTCTTTGTAAATGCCTCTTGCAGGTAATCCATCTGAGAGCGTATCAAAGGCTGTGTGCTCTTTAAAGGGATCAGCTGAGATAGGAGAGAAGGAGGGAAGAGAAGGAGCAGTATCAAGCGGGACTGCAGTAAAATCCTCTTGACCAAGCGACTTAGTGCTACCTGGCTGCTCCTGCAAGTCCATAACTTTTTCTGTGACCGTGGACAGAAAGGAAAGTTAGAGAATGCAAGTGCTCTTAAAGTCAATGCAAACTTTCATGACAGGTTCACGTGATGTTAGTTATTAAGAGGTTCTTCCAAGTTCTACCACAAATACTACTAGCCATTAAAACAAAGCATCAGTTAAAGTATGCTATTCTATTTCACCTCTTCTAGCAGAGAAGTATGCAAGAGGCTACAGAAGCAGCAACTTTATGCAGCGCAAAGATCACAGTAAAGCTGAAGATGCCAGACAAGTACAGCACATCCAAGTACAGCAGGCAATATTAACAAAGTGGGAGAGGGAGAGTGGCATGGCAAGGTGAGAAAGAGAGAGGGTATGTGTGTATGCTTGTGCATAAATGTATGCACAAATGTGCATGCCAGTAAGTAGTCTCTTTTTGACACTTTTTTTAATTGGTAATTTGGTGGACAGTGTAACTGAAAAAACACTACATAAATACCACAGGTACAAATTTTACTTATATAAAATACTGCAGAAAGTTATTATGGATTAAATCTTTCTGCTAAATCAGTAAAGCAACTGTGCTCTGATGTGTTAACCTGTTAATAGTATCAACTTCTCTCCTACATCAGGGGTCCAAGAATTCACAGATGGCTGTAGCTTGTTTATAAAACAGTTTACCGTGTAAAGAAATGAATGCATATTCAAATCTTGAACATATCAACTGAAAAGTCAAAACTGAAAAAATGTGGTAGAGGCTATTCTTGGACCCATGCTGACTTTTAGTAAAGGCAGACTAATTGGAAAGAGTTAATGAGATCAGATATGCAGGATGTATTCAGACAAAGGTGAGCAGAAAGAACTTGCCTGCAGAGGAGTGCATCAGAGGCGCAGATGTAGCAGGAAGAGCAAAAAGGGTCTCATCTGAAAAACAAACAAATAACCTCAGCAGAAATAAAGGCTAGGTTGAAGAGGGGAGAAAGCACGCAAGTAGTCAGTTCCCAATAAATCAAGCCGATCCACAGCCAACATCTACACCCACGAAGAACCGCAGAACTAGATACAAGCCGGGTTAATTTGGGAAAGACAGTGCTCAGAATTCTCCAGATATAATGGGATCTTTACTGAGGCAACCGAGGGATCTCCATCCTCCAAGCCAGGGACCAGTCTTATGATGAGATACCCCACAGTAGCTACTCTTTGTTTTCATTCTCCAAACCTCCAGGCTACCGAGTGGCTACAGTGTCTCTAGCACCAGAAAAAACACCTGCATTGACACCGACACACTGTCCTTCGTCGGCTCACTTTGTCAGGGGGCCTCCTAACGCTGACTAACTTGCATGAGAACAGCATCGATAAGGGGACTCAACCAAAAATTGTGGAAAGTTAAAAAGACTGAAGTAAGCTTTGAAACTCCCCGCAAACAAGAGCGGGGATCAGGCGTGCCGATACTGATCCATCCGGTAACAGCAAATGACTGTACTAGGCTTTGTTTCTGTCTTTGCTGGTTTTGTTGTAATGTAGACAAGCTTCCAAACAAAGGCATTATTTTTAAAGCCTTCTGTGGCACTATCCAAGGAACATATTTTGCTTTGCTGAACTATTTTTAACCCTAATATTCCACAGGACAATCCCAGCTCTCCACTCGCCATTCAAAGAACTAAGTAGATACAAGGAAGGGCGCCCTTCTCCTAAGCTAGGGAAGTCACCCCCCTTCACTAATGCACGACAGTGAGCGACGGACACTCCCCGCGTTTCACGTTGCGCCTTATCTGAAGTAAAAGCACACAACTATGACATTTTACTAAGCTGCATGAAGCATTTAATGAAAAACCACTCTAGAGGCAGCAAAACCAGCCATCATTAGGAGCCAGGCAAATCAAAACCAATCCTTGTCTGTATTTCTCTGTTAGCAGCAGTATTTTTCCCAGGTCCATCATGGCCTGTTGGTATTATGTTAATGTAAAAATAGTAACATTTAAGTAAATATATTTCATTCTGAAGAGTGCATAAAGTTTTCAAATTAAGGCTGTTAAAGAATATTGGCAGCTTACATTGCATTGTATTAGCAGAGTGCGAAATTATATTAAAGCATTTCAATTAGATTGTGAATTTCCAGTACAGACACCAACAATATTTAGTTTTGCCATTTGCCTGGACAAAAATCAAGTACTGAAAAAGAATTTTTTTTTTTTAAATTAAAACCAAAGAAAAATAGAAGCAATTTATTTTAAAAGATGAAAGGCAAAAAGTGAGAAGTGTGGTAGACCCAGTAGCGCATACGTAGTAATCCAGCAAAGCAAGGCATTAAGGTAATTTTTGTTTTGGCATTGAACCATGGCGTTCTGCAAAAGCAATGCCACTTCAAGATACTCATGACCTGTCTGGCTTACTCAAGTTAATCCCATCAGCACTTTTCCAAAAATCAAGTCTCCTCACAACCTACATTTCCTGTCACAATATACAGCCGGTTTTGTTTTGCAGAACATTGTTATCTTCAAGTGATGTTTATAATCCACAAAATATGGCAACGTATAAGAAAACAGAGTAATAAAGTTGGAGCGGAGGACTCTGTATTTAGAAGCTTCCTCAACTCCTGCCAGGCCAAAGGGATTTCTGTTCAGTTTTTCTAGAAATTACATTTTCCTATTAAGGACCACACAGAGAGAAACCTCAATTCCAAATTTAGAACACATTAAAACAGTGTTGCAGTTCAGTGGTGGCAAAAGCTTTTAAGGACAAAAACCACACTGAAGGACAACTGATCAATATGTGACACTAAGTCCCAGAATTGCAATGCTCACCCGTACACTGCCAAGTATTGCCATATGCCCTTTATTCCAGGAGATGCTCGACTCCGTGTGCCCTGGCTCGCTGGGATCTCTTCCGCAAGCCGACTGCTCGCAAGGTACCACGCCGGAGACAAGTTAGCAAGTCACCTCGTTTGGGGAACGAAACAAGGGGCTCCAGCCAGAGTGTGGCCTGGGACTAGCCAGTCCAAAGAGCTGCTCTGCCGCCCTCAAAATGAGCCTGTTAGCAGTTAACACCAGAGGGTTTTCCTCAGTTTCTAGTGTGCCAAGAGTTACTGCCAAGCTTTAGATTTTAGGCTAGCAAGCCTTAGGGTTTGTGCCAAAGAACAGCACACTCTCCTTTTCTCGCAACATTATGACTAGATGGACCAAGCAAGTGACATCTCCTGACCACAAATGTCAAACTGTCCCCTCCATGTGTGGAGCACTGGATGCCGATCCTGCCGAAATACCTAATCACTTGTTGGTTAAATGGAGAGGCAGTGTCCACATACTCCATGCTTGAGCCAGTGTCATCTACCCCCTCATCTCTTGATGAGGGGCTCCCCTTGGAGCTCTGCACACACCCCCCAGGTCCAAGCCTCAAGGGCCCTGTGATGGGGCAAATTCACCAAAAAGCTGGTAACATAGATTACTCCTCAGCCCACACCTCCCCTGAAACTGCACACTCTCATCCCCTCCAGGCCATGCCAGAGCAGCGTAACCTTTATTTGCTGGAAGGGGTCTACGCCTTGGAGCAGAGAGAGGGGAGAGAAAGCAGGATGGACCTGATGAGACGAGATCATGCAGCATGAAGACAGAGAGCCCTAACAGCCGAACAGAAAAGGATCTCACAGGGAAACCAAGAACAAGTCAATGGAGTGGAGGTGCTGATAATGTAGAAATAAAAGGGCAAAGAAAGGAGACAAGAGTCCACTGGGCTAAGGAGGCAAAGAGGAAAATGCACAAGTCCCTGAAGGTACAGTACACTTGGTGTCCAAAGACCAACTGCAATCTCTACCAAAAATTCTAGACTTCAAATCTTTTGAATGCTTCCCAAGCCCAGAGAGAGGTTTCAGTTTCTGGTGAGGAACGCTGGGTTTAGGAGCATGGGCACTGATTTTTCAGTGCTCCATTAAGAAGGCAGCACAATGCAGAAACTCCTACTCGGGTTTGGCTTCCATTTACTCAACACAGAAACATACAATAGCTATGCCAGTCACTGAATTCCCAGGTTCTCTTAATGGAAGGATATTATGCCCACACCCAAACTTTATTTTCCACACATAGCTGGAGTGTGAAAAGTGATTACATAAAAGCAGTGTTTCCTAACCAGCCAAGGAGAACCACCCACTTTCCCTCCACCCACAGCTGAACAGCACTTTTTCCTG